GAGGAGGCGGTAGAGGTGCGAGTCACCCTGCAGTGGTGACTGGCACTGGGGCGGAGGTCTGTAGTTCAAGTGCAGGCTTCAGTCAGTGACATTTGTGCTGCTGCTGCCTGGGCACATGCCCAAATCCAGTGTCAACTCCTCTTCCCTTCCCATCTACTGCTGGACCCAGCCTCTTCATGAACAGCTCTGATGACGTGATCAGGGGCTTGCTAACATCCCATGGCAGAGACCAGGGATGCCGTGGGGTAGGGACCTGCCCCAGAGGCAGTGCCGGCTCCTGGCCAGCGTGAGGGATGGCGTCTGGTCACTAGAGCCCACCCAGCAGCTTTCTCTGGCCTCTGCTTTTCTCAAGCTGAGGTGCAAACAGCTTTTAACCAAAACAATGCAGCATTGCCTGGGTGAAGAATGTGATTTACTTGCATATGTGTGGCATGTGAGTGCCAGGGCCAGAGGGCACCGCTGGAGACCTCTCCTTCTTTCTTTCTTTTTTCCCTTTCCCACTAGAGATGCCTGAGCCACTTGCTAGCACTTTTGTTTGGGGGTGAGGAGGAGAGCGCGTGGGTTGACAAGAGGAGGTGGGAGTGAGATCTTCGGGAGCCAGGAGTCTGAAACTGAAAAAGCCAGCAATTTAGGAAAGCTTTGTAGGCAAGTTTAAATTTAGACTGACCCAATGCTTTTATATTGCTGGAATTTAATTCCTCTGACCCTAAAACGTTTGGTCTGACTCGGAGCAAGAGTTCCCAGGCTGTGGATGTGGAAGTCTGTCACGTGGCCGTGGGTCTGTATCACAGAGATGTACCCCTGTCCACCTTGTATTTGTGAAAGGCTGGAGAAATTCAGTCTGAAAAGCCAGGGAAGCCTCACCTATTTCTGTTGTCTTCATGTCTGTCAGTGTGTGGCTTGTGTCTGGCGCCTGTTCCCCCTCAAACTGGGATACCGCTGGGTGTAAAAGCTGTTCAGAGCTTTTCCTTTTTCAGGCATGATTATAACTGTTTCTCTTCTGTTCCTGTTTGCAGGTTGTGCAGCTTGACATTAAAGAAACTGGTAGTCTTAAAGGAATTGGATAAGGAGCTTATTTCTGGGGTCATTGCTGTCAAAATGCAGGTAATTGCTGCTCAGTTCTAAGAATTAAATGTGGTGTTTGATTAAAAATACTGGCATGTGCCTAAACTGAGCTTCACCTCCACATGAGGGTCCATTGCAGCCACCGGCTTCTTCCGAAGCTCATCGGGGCGTTCTGGATATGTGGAGAGTCTCTTCGATCCTTCCCCCACGGTCCTACTGCGTTTCACTGTTGTAAGCGAAGAATATAGTTCGCTGAGGGCTCAGCATGAGCTTATCTGTATGTAAAAATGCTCTTTACAGATCATATGCTGTCACCTCTTCTTCCTGAGCTATCGCTAAATCCAAGCCCAGTTCTCTATTTAACCTATTTTTCTCTATTTTTATTTATATATCTCTTCAGCTCACTTCAGGGCTGAGCATCTTGGTAACATGATCCTGGTTTTGGGGTTCTGGAGTCAGGGCCTTTCTCTGCTGATGGGCAGCTCTGCTATTGAGTCCAAGGCATTTAGTAGCCAGGTGCTTGTCAGTGGGTCTGTAGCGTGCCTGTACGTTCACTTGTTTCCATAAAATACAGCTGTCATCTTGGGTAAATAACCCACTTCACAACGTACGTTTGGTGCCTCCATGTAGGTGACGCTGCCTGGAGGGACGCTGGGAAGGAAGGGGACTCGGTTGCACGGTGTGTCACAGCATCGGCTCGGCTCACGTGCTCCCACCACTGCAACTGCTCAAGCACTTAATGAGTAAAAGCCTAGAAGAGCTATAAGTAGAAAAATACCATTAACCATGCTGAAAAGCAGCTGCTTTTCAAATAAAGAGCCAGTCAAACCCCTGCAGAGAGAGCTGGTCATGTCAAAGCACACAAAACCGAGCTCGGGAGGTGAACTCGTGAGGGCTCTGTGGTGCACAAACACGTAGCTGAGGGTTTAGCTGTCATCCCTCATCTCCGTGAGCAATCCAGCTGGGCTAAAAACGTGTCCCCGTGTTGGAGGGGGTTCACGCACCCACAGCAGGGAGCAGGAAGGCAAGGAATGGTTTCACGCACCTGGATTTATGGGAGCCTCAGGAGCAGCACAGCTGTGGGCTCCCAGGCTGTCAGATCGTGTTTATCAGAGCCGAAAGCTCCCCATGTGTTTGTACTCCTGGTGCTGGACGCATTGCTGTAAGGGCGTGTCAGTGAATGATCAATGCCCAGGGCGCGTCAGACTTGGAGAATCCAGGACCTTTTACGAGAGCAAAACCTTCACGCCTTTTCCTGTCCAGGTTATTGCTGAGCGCTTAGGCTCGTTACGGTGAGAGCTTGCCCGGGACCTGCAAGTCCACGGGGAGTTGTAACACACGGGACTCCCTTGTCTGCTCTGGGTACGTGCCGTGATCTGCCCTGCTGCGGTAATTCCGACGCTGGAACCTGAGCAGTTCTTCCGCGCTCCTCTCGACGCCAGGGCAGATCCCTGGAGAACTGGAAGGCAGGAGGACTTGCCTTGTTTGGGGTGCTCGCCTGCCAAGTCCCAGGCGGCAGCTCGCCCCCCCAGGCCATATCAAGGCTTTTTGTGTCCTTGCTACGTCTGTCCAGTTGACATAGAGGGGTGGAGTGACCTCTGTCCCAGGGTGCCCCTTGTGATCAGAGGGCTGGAGCCCCTCTCCTATGACGAAAGGCTGCAAGAACTGGGCTTGTTCAGCCTGGAGAAGAGGAGGCTCCGAGGAGACCTCATTGCAGCTTTCCAGTACCTGAAGGGGGCCTACAAGGGTGCTGGGAGAGGACTTTTTACAAGAGCCTGTAGTGATAGGACAAGGGGTAATGGGTATAAATTGAAATCAGGGAGGTTTAGATTAGATATCAGGAAGAAATTCTTCCCAGAGAGGGTGGGGAGGCACTGGAACAGGTTGCCCAGAGAAGCTGTGGATGCCCCATCCCTGGAAGTGTCCAAGGCCAGGCTGGATGAGGCTTGGAGCAACCTGGTCTAGTGGAAGGTGTCCCTGCCCATGGCAGGGGGGGTGGAACTAGATGGGCTTTAAGGTCCCTTCCCAACCACACCGTTCCGTGATTCTATGATTCTATGATTGTGCTGGATCAGCACCCCTATTTCTTTGTGATTTAACGACGGGTCCGCAGCGCTGCAGCTCTGACACGGGCAGGTTTGAAGCCCCGTTATTAAAAGTCCCTTTACAGCTTGCAGGTTGTGATGCTGCTGCTGACAAGCTCTTTCGGGGACGCTTAATTTGACAGCCCCTGGGTTTCTGACGCGGCTGTTGTTTGAGGCTGGTGATACTGGATCATCAAATACATGATCTCTGTCAGATGACACACTGCCTGTGTATGGGGAGAGGTGTCAGACGCTGGCGTCCTTCCAGGGGGGTGGCTGAACTCAGACCTAATGAGAGCATCCTACCTGCATTTCCCGAGTCTCCTTGCAGCCTCCCGAACAGTGATGTTCAAAGCGTTGTCAACTCTATTTTCTGAGCTGTTGCTCTATTTATCTGCTCCAGCCTTTTAAAGGCAGCTATATTTGGTCTTTCATTAGATTTCGAGTTGCATAACAAGTCAAGGAAGATTGCTGCTATTCGGAGCTTTGCACGGTGGAACAGATGCTGCCGTTGCCAGCCGGGAGGCTAGCCGTGCTCTACTTGCACACGTGCTGCTTTTCCTGGGGGGGAGCATCCCGGTTTCTCGCCCTCCTCTGCTGTCTTCTGATCCGCCGGAGCTTAGGCACCTTGGCTTTGGCACAGGGGAGCTGGCGCTGTGTTGTGCAGGAGCCCAGGCACCGCTGCAGATCGCAGCGTTGGCTCCTGGTGACGCGTCCGGGGAGGAAGGGATGTACCCGAGCGTCTGCTGCGCTGTCATCTCAGGATGCTCGTTGAGGCTGGTATGGGCAGACCAGATTTTCCTTTGGATGTAGCTGGGAGGTGTTTACCCCCTCCACAGTCTATCTCCGATTTCCCAGATGCTGCTTTTTTGAGAGCTACAGCTGTGTGCTTCAGCCCGTCTGCACAAAGCCAGCTCTGCAGCCTCAGCAGAACATGGGGCCGGGGACTCTGAAACTTGCCACTGGGTTTGAACAGCGCAGAAGGATTTGCTAGGCAGCAGTCTGTCCTGCTTTCCTGCTGGCTTTCCCTGAAACATTCCCTGAAATCAAGTGCTGCACAGCAAATAGCCCAGTGACTGGGGTACAGCAGCCCAAACAGGGTTGATCTGGAGTTGCCCTGTAATCCTCAGGTCTCTGGGCTCCACTGCAATGCTTAATGGATTTTTTTTCTTTCATAGCCCCAGCTCACAGTTGTTGAAACAGGTTAAAATCCCCGCTTTCCCCAGGGAGGGGTGCGTGCACAAAGAGAGACCGGTCTGTCGTGGCTGAGGCCGGAGATTGAAGCAGGATGCTGCGGCCTCCAAACCCAGGATGAGATGAGCCTTGTACCTACTGGCTGAAGTGAAAACAGGAGACTTGAACTCGAGGGGTGGGGGTTGGCGTGTAGCTTTGAATGCCGGGGTTTGGCAGAACAAAAGCCGCTTTGTTGCGGTTGGGGACAGTAAATATGCCCAAATCTTTATTAGTCAAATATCTCCCTTTCATGTCATTAATATTTCACCGAAATGCAAAGTCAGACCAGTCTGTTCCCTTTCTCTGTAGTAGTTCCTGAGGATGTTTCCTGGTTTTCAGTAAATAAGACTGGGATGGGATGTAAGGGCTGGCTTCTGGGGAATTCACCCCATGGATTTTGTTTTCGTGCAGGGCTCCAAGCGCATCCTGCGGTCTCACGAGATCGTATTGCCCCCGACCGGACACGTGGAGACTGAGCTTGCGCTGACCTTCTCGCTGCAGGTAAGGTGCGATGTGGCCTCGGGGAATGTGCTGCTGGACTTGCTGCTTTGCAGTGAGCAGAGGTGTATTGTGGGTCTGAGGTGTGGGTCATGAGTCTGATCCTTCCAGTGCTGACAGAGATGCTTGTTCTTCAGGCAGTCGCAGCCACTGCTGAAGAGCCAAGAGATCCTTCCAGGATCTGGGAAAGGTGAATCGCACTAGGAAAGCTGCTGTACAAACCCTTCGAATAGTTCTTGGGGCCAACCCTGCACCGTGGAAGGGCAGATCTCTCATCCTGACTAGTCTGGGGGGAACAGGCAGGGTAGACACTAGCTGCAATTTGCATCTCCTCACTGCAATAACACAAATCTGTCTGCACTGCATCTCATCACTGAGCGCCTGGAGCAGGGTGCTGGTTTGCAGCTTTAGGGGACCTTCCTTGCTGTGCACCCTGTGTTTGGAGCCCAGGATCATGAGGACTTTGCAGTCTGTCCTCTTTGTGTTATGGCCATGGCAGGAACTGGAGCGGAGCAGGATGCTCTTTCATTGCCTGCCCTATGAACGGGCACCGGAGGGAGGCAGCCGTGGGGGTTGGCCATCTGGACTATCTGTGTTTTGGGCCTGTTTGTTGGATCTTGACTTAAGAGTTTGATCTAATAAGGAGAAAGGCTCTGGTGATGATGCGAAACAGACCGGTTGTTACTCTGAGACCTGAGCAGACTCGAAGCAGGTAAGGTTCCCCTGCAGACGGATGATAACCCTGCAGCTGCCTGGAGGATGTGCAGATGGTGGCTGCTTCTGATTCTGTGCTGGTGCAGCCCGCAGTCGGGGTTACCTGCAGCAGTGCAGCCCCTTTTCTGTGAACGTGAGCCACGTGCCGGGAGTACATATGCTTGGATCCTGGGACTGCAGCTTTCCTGTGGCTGGGAGCAGAGCCGTAGAGTGAGCCAGGTCTCCCTCTGCCAGTCCTGTGTCAGCAAGGAGCAAGTATTTCTTCAGATCTTTTCAGAATTAATTGGGAATATGGGTGTTTTTGCTGGGACTCAAAGCTGCAGCAGGATGCAGAGCACTGTTGCCTTTAACGTATTTCCCTTGACGGGGTTGGGAATTGAGCCAGAATAGAGGAGAGGCACGCCCGTGACACTGAGCCTTCACAGAGGTGAGCAAGCTTAATGCAGAGAGATGCTGCTGGTGCTGCAGGAAGGATTGGTGGTCTTGGATGCAGTAAGGCCTGGGAAGCCTTCCTGAAATAGCACAGTGGGATTTTTATGGCAGCGTTTATTGTTTCTTAATTGGACCATGGCTGGAAGTTACTCCAAGCTAATAACTGCAGCTTAAGCCAGATACAGTCTGAATTTAGTGCCTGGGATGTATGTAAGAGTGGTGAGGGGCCACAAAGCAAAAGCATGTGGATGTCACAGCACAGGAAGGTCTCGGTGTCTTGCAGCAGCCAGTGTGTCCATAAGACACCGTCAGCTCTTCAAACTGCACACCTTGCTTTGTGCTAGCTGTCTGGATTGGCAGCCCCTCGTAGCTTCACGGTCACCGTCTTCTCACCTGCTTCTCCTGCATGAAATTCATGTCGTTGCTCAGAGCGTTGCCTTGCCGCAGCTGAGCGGGAAGGGTGATGGTGCTGGCTGGCATAACAGCGAGCAGCCCATCGTGTCCGGCGGGCATCAGCTCCAACAGGAGGGAAGAGTTTCCTGTTGCTGTCACACAGCTGGGTAAGACTGGAGTTAGCAGTGTGCCTGACCCTGTTTTGCCTTGCTAGGCCACCCCTTGGGGCAGGTGAGCTACCGTCACCCTTGCTGCTGCTTCTCCTGACCCTCTGTGGGTTTCACAGGATGGAGTGAAATTCCCCAGGTTGTCCAAACACAACATCCCAGCTCTCTGGAGCACTTAATTCCTTTCCAGGTGGAAGGTATTACATCAGGGGGGCTTCAGAAAGAATGTCTTGCCCTGACTCGCTGTTCTGGTATGGGATGCCCCCCTCTTCTCACCCCTAAGCTGCCTTGGGGTGCTTGGTGCTTCCTCTAAAAGCCTTGGTTTCAAATGTTTTGAGCCCAACTGTGTCATGGACTGAATATTGTTGAAAAGTTTGGGCTGAAACCACTCTGTAGGGTTGATAAACCATGGCTGGTGTTAAAAACAGCTTGTTTGTGCTGTGGAAATGGCTCGGCTTTTCTTCTGGAGGCCCTTGCTTTGAACAGAGGAGCTGAGTGACCCGAGTGTCTCTGTACCTTTCTTCTATCATCTCTGTGAATGCTCATCAGAGGTGGCCAGGCAACACACCTTTGAAAAAACACGTTTATGGCCTTGAGCTGTCCAGTTTAATCCCTAAAAACTACACATGTTGCAGTCACGCTGGTCTTGGGACCAAGTGCGACTCTGGGTTTCAGTTGCAGGCTCACACTTACGCAGCCTTGGTGTGACCAGAGTGCCTTGAGCTGAGGGCAAGGTGTCCCTCTCCCCTGCTGCTCTTCCAGCCCCTGGAAGGGCCCTCAAGGCAAGGAGGTGGTAGATCTGAACGCTTTTTGACACCCTCTTGCCCCTTCCCCCTAATAACTTTCTCCCATCCTTGTTTAGGAATGTTACTTGTCTGTGAAGTCAGAGGCCCCGTTGGTGTCTGGATGTAGCTGGGTTTTGAGGTTGTGTTTTAATTAGGTGCACTGCTGTCCCTCCCTTCTGCGGGGCTGCTTCCCTGTGCCATCACAGGAGATCTTGCCCTTGCAGAGAAATCACTTAATTAGTATTAAACTTGTTTGTGTGGCCACTGCTCCCAGCTCTCTGTGGTGCAGTCAGGCTTGCCCTGGACTGCAAATTAATATCTCGGGGTTTCTGGTGGCACTTAGCATTTAGCAGGAAGTTATTTTCATAATATCCCAAGGTGGGGGGGAAAAGAGGTAGGTCTTGACTGTGAGAGCAGCATCCTTCACTCGGAATGTCCTGCTTGAAATCCCTGCGGTTAGGTTCTCCCATCTGCAGGTTACTTAGTGCCATGCCTTTGGAGCATGTGTCCCACTCACTTCTCAGGATGAGACTGGTCATGTGGCTGCTGGCAGGAAGTTATTTTCATAATATCCCAAGGTGGGGGGGAAAAGAGGTAGGTCTTGACTGTGAGAGCAGCATCCTTCACTCGGAATGTCCTGCTTGAAATCCCTGCGGTTAGGTTCTCCCATCTGCAGGTTACTTAGTGCCATGCCTTTGGAGCATGTGTCCCACTCACTTCTCAGGATGAGACTGGTCATGTGGCTGCTGTGTCTTTTCTTGAAGACTGCTCTTGCATGGCTTCCCATCCCTGGAAGTGTTCAAGGCCAGGCTGGATGAGGCTTGGAGCAACCTGGTCTAGTGGAAGGTGTCCCTGCCCATGGCAGGGGGATTGGAACTGGATGGTCTTTCAGGTCCCTTCCAACCCAAACCAGTCTGTGATTCTTCCTCCCGCAGCCGGTGAGCTGGGCCCTGGGGACTGTCAGCGCTCCGGCGAGTAGCCCAACAGAAGGCAGGACCTGGCTGCACTAACGCTGGGCAGATGAGCGAGGTGAG